TATATATATATATATATAAAAAAGTTTCGTACTCTCTGTGCATAGCACAATAACCTGTCATATTGGTTTCAAGGCATTATGTAGAGCACTGCACGATATATAAATACCAATAATAAATAAATAACGGCACGCTCTCCTTTTCTGTTCATATTTTAGAACAGTGTCGGACACATATTTGAACACTGTTTTCCTCAAATATCACTTCCACATACAGAAGAAGACATAAAACCACTGGAGACATTCTTACTTGACACTGGATTACAGGGGCACAGGGAGACATATACCAGGTAAGAAGCACCAGTATTATGATTTGTGTTAAATTTATACCCTGAGTTATGTGTTAGATTTGTTTTACATGTGTCCATAAGGATTCTATTCAGTTAACGTGAATAGGAAAATACTATCCAAAGCTTAAAAATGCATTATGTGGAACCTTTCCCAACAAACCTCATTGCAATGCCCCAGTGTGACCAGGCCCTATTGAAATTTTAATGGATTTTCACATATCCATGTATTTCAAGCTGAACTCGAGGAAGATATAAAACACACATTAATGCAGCTCTGTATTCCTTAATACTTCATTAGATGTATTTGTTTTAAATCAAAGCAGCGTAAGTACCTAAATCCAACTTAATATTATCTTCCTTCAGTCTCTGTACAGCAGAGCTCAGGCTTGGAGAGAGAGGCAGCACAAGAAACCAGTTAGCTGTGCTGCAGTGCTTATTTACTAACAAAGAACATGCAGATAGTAGGAGAGAGCAGAATGACAGAGAGATGAGCTCATTGGTGTGCTGATTCTTCTTTCGCTATCCAGTCACAGGCTGGGGGAGGGCAGGACCTGTAATGTGTTACTTAATTGCAGCAGAGAAAATCAGGTCTTCTACCCTACATGGCAGAGCCGTGTAGATCTCAGGGCTAAAAGTTAAAAAATAAATATAGTATTTTTTTAGAGAAGCAAAGTCCGATGCAAGTCTGTGGTACATTAGTGGGTGGGCTAAGGCAGACATTGGTGGTGGTCGCAGCCATTGGAGGAGGTAAGTATGGACCTGTGGCCGAGGGGAAGCTCTGTGTATTTAGGTGGCTAGGTAGCGGGGCTGTGCAAATTTTGCTCTGAAAGTGAGCATGTACTTTAAATAAATTGTGTTGCAATTTAAATGGATTGCATTTTTGAAAGAGTTTATTTGAATCGTTTGGAACAAGACTGTGCAGGTCAATGCACCCAAACATCAGCATGCAGGACCTTTTTTCTAATGCACTGCAATGCAGCATGATGGTGTGAATCAGCTCTTTTGGAAGCAATGGAAAGGTAATGCCTGTTGTAAAGGGCTAAGGAATATGATGGGGTAGTATAAATAATACACAAATATAATTACAGGGAGCTAGCCATACACTGCTCTATTTTTTTTGTTCAATCCGCGGGTTAAACAAAAAAAATAGAGCAGATTCTCCAGCATTGCTACGAGTGCATTGGTCAAGGAATCCCCACTGTTACCTTTGTATTCTGACAGTGGCCGCTGTCTGAATACCCGAACAGACCCAGCTGCCAATGATTTTCCGACCAGCTCCTTCAATCAGCTAATTGAGGGATGCAGGTCGAAAGGGTGCCGACAGTCACACACTGTGCGAATTTCGACCAGCTCCTCAAAAACCGGCTGAAATGCGCACAGTGTATGGGCACCGGAACACCTACCTGCGAAAACAATGGCAGATGACCTAAAAAATCAAGTTTCACAGATCGCTAGTTTTGGGGTTTTTATAGACATATGATTGTTGCCTGCCAGTCATCTCATGTCTGTACATACCTTCAGAGCTTTCACATAAATGAGCAGACGGCTTCAACAGCAATAGAAGATCAGCCTGTAATCACTTAAAGGGGATGTGTAGCCTTTTTGGCGATCTTCTATATATATATGTGTAAACAAGATTAGCTTGATATAAATACTCCTATAAATATTTTCATAAAGTATAATAGAATAGGTCATAATATTTTTAGGAATTAATATTTGGTTTGTCTGGCAGTAATATTTACCCTTATATATGCAAGTTCTGCTTCCTGTTTTGCAGTGCTACACAGTGGTTGTGCCTGACGAATTCTACTCACAATGCAAATCTATTAGTCAGCCAACTCATTAAAAAGGATGCACTCCCTTTGTAGGTGATATCTCTACATTTAAAGGATAAACACACACTTATCCTTTTTGTCCCCATTCACTGTGGTAACCTAGCTCCTCCGCAGATGCTTACTGACCTTGCAGTCATGCCTGTAGCCTCCAGAGTTTGCATACATCCCACTGCCAGAGCTCCATGCACCAGCTGTACCTGCGAGGTAGCTTATCCTAGAGTTCTATAGGACAGTCTCCCGAGGCAGGCGATCCTATAGAATCCTACGGGAAGCTCCTGCCCAAGTGTGGCCAGTGCATAGAGATGTAAACACTTCCCAGAGGCTGCGTGCATGACTCCAAGGTAAGTATGCAACTGGGGAGGGAGGGCTAGGTTAGCACAGTCTGGGAAGGCAGAAAAGATAAGTGCACGTTGTTTAAAAGTGCATGTATCCTTTATTACAATAAAAACCATATACAGGTATTCCTCACTTAACGACCGAGTTCCGTTCCTACGACCAGGTAGTTAAACGGATTGGTCGTTAAGTGAGGAACTCTATACAGTACTGTACTGCATTAGTACAGTACTGTATAGCGTTGCCAATGTACAGTACCGAACAGTGTACTGTACATCGGGCAATGAAAATACTTACCGGGACCCGCAGTGAAGATCGGAGGACACCACTTCCGCCGGCGAAACGGCGCACTGAAGCTGACGCGCAAGGTCGGAGGTCGATCGGCGGTCCGTCGTAAGTGCGAGTGGTCGCAAAACAGGTAAGTGAGGAACATCTGTAGTAATAATAATAACAACAATTATACAATAATATAATAATAGTAGGGTTGCACAAATACCAAGTACAGTACTCGGTACAGGTACGAGTACAAGTACCGATACTTTTGAGCTCCAAGACTAGACTAGAGAAAAATTCAAAAATTAGGAGGCAGCTGTCATTTGTAAGGAGCACACGGAGCTCCTGGGATTTGTACATCTCTGTTTTAATGTATGATTTTGTTTTTATAAATATAAGTAAAAGTGATGCACAGATACCAGTTTTGCGAGGACGAGTACTGGTACTTGCCGAGTACTTACAAGTACGAGTACTGATACATTTTTGTTTATTGTCATGTGACAGTTTTTCTAAAACAATACAGACTAATGATTTCAGGACAGTGGTGGAGCGCAAGAGACAGGTCCCAACTGCAACCGCTGCAACCCTGGTAGTTCTCATGAAAATGCCAAGTATCTGCACTAGTACTCAAAAAGTATCTGTGCATCCCTAAATAATAGAGTTGTGAATCAGCAGTGACAATGCTGACAGCCAAGCCCCCTGCAACATCTCCTCATCCCACTGTAGAGAAAGCAGGCACAACCTACACAAGAGTGGCAACTCTGAATTCATGGATAGTGCAGCATCATTGCCCCACCATTACAGGATGAACATGAGAACCAATGCAAGACAACAGTGTCTAAACTGGTGTTATGATACTAACTAACTGACTCTGTTTCAAAGGACTTAACCTTTCTTGGTCGAAACACTTTATTTATACTTTGCCAATAAAGAATTCCCTGGATTTGTTTTCATGTTGTGGGTGTTTTGTTACAATATGCCTTTTTAGTTTGTTAAATTTAAGGCTTTCATTACTAAGAACCTCCCCACATAGAATACATTGTGGAGCATTTTTCCATCTCTGCGAGCTTTTGTAAAGCCAATGAAAAAACCTACGTTTATTTTAGTAGTAGACATTTCCAATTCTCTTTACTTCTTTACCTCACAGCCTTGTCTGAATAATTGACCCCTACGCCTGGCACGCACTCCAGCTTCCTACGTGTTTGTGCTGTTAATCATAGTGGGCTTTTACTTGATCATAGCACTAGGACACTAAGTTAAGTGGCAAACCATCCCAAACATGTTCACAACCTAATTTGGATCCTGACAATTTAAGAAACATGTCACTAGAATTGTTTCATTAATTTGCGGGACGATCACTGGGATTATGAAGGTCTTGGTGGGTGCTACTGGGTTGCTATGGATCAAAATGTCTGGTGGGGAGGGGGGATACGAAGGAAGCACATTTTCCACTGCACTGCCAGTGTTAAAGAATAATTTTAGGGCTTGTCATGGAACCCATGGGAAGAGTGGCCTGGCCACAAGTGAAACCTCTTGCTACTCTTGTTCCGACACCACACAAGAACACAGAAGAATTCATATATAAATGCAGCACTATTGTATGTAATGTTTTCAGGAAGACCGCCATGTTCCTAGAAAAGTTGCCATGGTATTAGAAAGACTGCCACAATTGAGAGACTGCTATATTAGAGACTGCTAATAGCCCAATGTCATAGGACGAAGTTCAAGCTTTGTGAATTGAGTCTATTGCCTTTTAATTGTAAAACAATTTGTTATGGCTAACTTCAATTTGAAAAAAATAAAAACTGTATTGGTGGGCCATCTTTATCACTATAGCACCAACAATCTCTGCCACCCCCTCTTCAATGTAAATTGTACAGCTGCTTTCTGGTTTCTTTCTGCCATGGTAAAGTTTGTCAGTTTTTGTAACTGGACAGTCAATTTGAAACCCCAAAGACACAGGGACCAAAAAGCCGGTTTGTTTGGGTCAAAACCTTAATGATAATATTGATCTTCTAAACAGGGTCACAGTTGCATCCAAGCCCTTGGCACCGGAGTCGGTGTTATAGCTCTTCTTTCGTTGGTCTGAAAGTAAGAAGGAACAAGATTGTAGAAGTGTAATTTGACTTACCTGGAGATTTTAATTCCTGTGTGTGCTGAATTATTTAATTTTTTTTATCTTCTAGAGACACATGTGATCACAGATCGGCAGACTGTTTATGGGGGGCTACACCTAACCACACGCAAGATCCTGATACGCTATATAAATGGGAAGGATCCCAACTAAGAAGCGCCTACCTCTCATCCCTAAACGTCAAACTCAATGACAAGGTTAACTTGCCCTCTTCCCTCTGTATGTAAGGTCTATGATCTTGATCTTGACCTAAGCTTGATGTTGAGAATTGACAAATAGGCTACAATAAAGCAGTGTTGATTTTTCCCATTTGGGTGGTGTGGGCTTAGTTTCCTACCTGACCATTGAATATCTCTAGGGTTTCCATGTTCCTCTGGTACAGCTATTGCAGGCTGCTTTTCAGTCACTGGATTACCCATATACTGTATACCTATAGTAATGCTGCTTCACTCACCTTCTACAGAATTAATGATAGAAATGTATTACTAATCTACCACAAGCAGTAGCAATACGGTGTCTTTATGTGTTGGCCTAGGTGAACTAGGAAAAAGTTACATTCTCTATCCAATAGAAATAACAAGGATTTGCCTAAAACACAGAAAACTCTGTACATTTGCCACCTATATCTTGCCGTCTATTTCTCTATTGCATGTATTCACCATGATTTACACCGATAAGTTTCACATTTGCTGGTTTATAAATTAGAAACATTTTCATGGTGAGTGTAGGAAAATGTATGCTAGTTTTGGGCGAATATGGAAATGCAAATGTTCCTGGATCCATCAACATTTTTTACGTACTGTAGGTGCCTATAAATGTTCATTACGTTTTGCTTAAAAATATCTATATGCTACTCCTAGAAGTTCATCTAGCTCGTGTTAACCCTAGAAACCAATTATTAATTACTCATGCACTGATACATGGTTCCATCGAGAATTGCCAGAGCGCGTCTGTTGCATTCTTCTACTTGCTTCAGAGCATGTCAGGCGGAGGGCACGTTTTCTCATATCTGGTGGGAATGTCATGTGGTTTCCTGATTCTGGTTCCGGATCTTCTGTACCATCATGGCTGTGTTGGGCTCCTCTCCCACGAGAGATCCATACATTGTGCTTCTCAGCAAGAAACCAAGTGGCTATTCCTCTGTGGAATTCTGCTTATTGCAACATATCTTTACTGAGGCTGAACTCATGATTGCCCGTACCTGGAGGGTCCCTCCCTACCCTTTCATGTTGGCACTTTCTTCACAATATGTCCCACACCATGTTTTTTGACAGGTTAACTATACACTCTAGATTTGAGGCTGTATAGATTTCCCAGATGAAGTATTTTTTTCCTTCTGGATTCTAACAGACCTTTCTGTCTATATGACAGTGTTGGTATGATGCTCATAGGGGTATGGACCTTTTTTGATAAAGTTTTTTCATACCGGCATTGTTTTGTTTCTTCAGAGTTTACTATTTGTTATTTAAGGATACTATCTTTTTCCACCATATCTAATTTGTGCATCATGACTCGCCTTTGCTCACAGAATTGTACAATGTATCTGATTGAATGTTTCTCTTTTGTATGTATGCATGTCTTCGAAATTTGAGAATAATAAAAACATAGGGCGCAAAAAAAATATCTATATGCAAAATACAAAAGGTTCTTGTTCATGAACATAACATTTATATTTTATACATATATTTAATTTTTCTTCTCCTTGTATGCAGTATGTGAGAACCACTGACATCATTCCAGCTGATTTTATTATACTTGTTTGAGTAGTTTCAGTTCCCCAAATTTTAACCTTGTCATGTTTTATTTTGCACAGATGCCACCCAACAGGACTCGGTCCTCTCCAGCCCCTAAGCAGAGAATCCAGCCACACAAAATGAGCACAGGGCTGGGGCGAGAACTCAAACTAATGAAGGTGAGTGCTTCTTTATACTTCTGTTCTGAAAATTATCACAAGCTCAATGATCAGAAGTAACATAAGGGCTTGTTCAAAAAATACCTGAGGTCTGAACAGTGAACTGTAGAATGATATAACTGCCCTCTGTGTTTTGGACATATAGAAGTTCTATACAGCTACCGTGTTTCCCTGAAAATAAGACACTGTCTTATATTTTTGGCTCACAAAAACACACTAGGTCTTATTTTCGGGGGTAGTTCTTATTTTAGGGGAAACAGGGTATATAGAAATAGCTGTATAGAACTGTTCACTGATCTAGGTAAGATCGCTCCCGCACTGTTTTAAAGCTTTAATGCAGGCAAACAGATAAATATAACTTTTCAATTCATATATGGAAGCTGTTTACTTGCAAAATTATTTATATTCCTGTCCATCCAGTCCTGGAATAATCACAGTCTAGCCAGACAGCAGTGCCAGGTTAG